TTACTGCGGTGCTTACTAATGGAGTTATTTATGGCGTCGTGCCAAATAACTAGATCTTTCCGATTCGACAAAAAATGATGCAGATAGTATTGGATAGTTTTCTGCGAGTCCCTGGCGTTAAAGTTAAAGCTTAAGCCGGGCTTTGTGAAACAAGTCTCTTCCACGCGCTTTTGAGACGGTGCGTATAGTTAACGGAGCGCGTGGTATAGAGAACTAGCCCCGAGTATGAACACCATACGCTAAGAGCCCTTATTCGCGGCGGAATTTACCAATGGGGATGGGATTTAAGTAGATCGGTTGAACTCCAACAATCACGCGGAGGAAACCTGAGGATGAACAAAATCAACTTAACCTACTCAATATCACCGTAGCTGACCACTTAACGTTACTGTGACAAAACAGAGTCAATGCGTGAGCGGGTAAACAGGTGCGTTGGAGAGGGCAACTTAAGTTTTAGTTAACCCACGAGGAGGGGTTTCAGGCAAGTTGGTGGAATTCCAACAACCACGCGGAAGAAACCTGAGGATGAAAAAACTCAACTTAACTTGCCTGATACTGCCTGCCCAGACCACTTAACATAAGTTAGAACCGGATAAATAAGCGAACTTGGGGATTTTATAATGAGTTTTTAACAATTTTTTTTTGTGTGGTTTTAACGACCTAAAAGTAACGATTATCAAAAATTTCCTACAGAGTTTACGGTTCGAGGGTTCGAGTCCGGAAATTTATCCGAAAAAAAGATCTAGTACCTTTGTCTATGTTCCGTTTTTCTGAATTTTCAATCCGTTCACAATTACCTAAATATTTGTGGTACCGGGAAAAATACCACTTGTAGTTTGCTTTTACTTGAGATACACAATAACACATCGTACGTGTTTTTATTGCAAAGAATGATTTGTACAAATTAGACTAGCCTTACAGTTTTGGAGATTGGGCGGTCACCGGTTTCGGTTTATCAGATTTTTGGTCAGGCGCAGAGGAACTGTCCAGCAATCACTTCTCACAATCACACAAAAAGTCTGTAGTTGACCCCCTGTCTGAAGATCTTGATACCTGTTCGAGGCAGGAGTTTGTTATCTTAGATACCATCTTTTGCTCGTGGTACGCAAACGTTCCATCAGCAGGGCAGTGGCATCAGGTCGTCTGAAACTCTGTGTACTTCAGTGTACTTAGGTCAGCACTGTATCGTCTAAGTAACAACAGAGTCTTCAACTCAAGGGAAGGGGACTGGTGCAGCTCTTTATACTTTTCGATAAGTATTTGGTCTTTGGCCTTTCGCTTTGAGATAAAATCCTCAACTATGTTAAGAACGAGAATACCTGTCTTTTTCAACTCTTTCTCTATATTGTCCGTACCGTTGTGGCGACAGTATACAATAGCGGTAATATTCTCCTTGTATCTCAAAAGAAGGCTCTTAATTTGGTCAGTACTCAAACTACGGTTGTTGTTACTGCGGTGCTTACTAATGGAGTTATTTATGGCGTCGTGCCAAATAACTAGATCTTTCCGATTCGACAAAAAATGATGCAGATAGTTTTGGATAGTTTTCTGCGAGTCCCTGGCGTTAAAGTTAAAGCTTAAGCCGGGCTTTGTGAAACAAGTCTCTTCCACGCGCTTTTGAGACGGTGCGTATAGTTAACGGAGCGCGTGGTATAGAGAACTAGCCCCGAGTATGAACACCATACGCTAAGAGCCCTTATTCGCGGCGGTATTTACCAATGGGGATGGGAATTAAGTAGGTCGGTTGAACTCCAACAATCACGCGGAGGAAACCTGAGGCTGAACAAAATCAACTTAACCTACTCAATATCACCGTAGCTGACCACTTAACATTACTGTGACAAAACAGTCAATGCGTGAGCGGGTAAACAGGTGCGTTGGAGAGGGCAACTTAAGTTTTAGTTAACCCACGAGGAGGGGTTTCAGGCAAGTTGGTGGTGTTCCAACAACCACGCGGAAGAAACCTGAGGATGAAAAATCTCAACTTAACCTGCCTGATACTGCCTGCCCAGACCACTTAACATAAGTTAGAACCGGATAAATAAGCGAACTTGGGGATTTTATAATGAGTTTTTAACAATTTTTTTTTGTGTGGTTTTAACGACCTAAAAGTAACGATTATCAAAAATTTCCTACAGAGTTTACGGTTCGAGGGTTCGAGTCCGGAAATTTATCCGAAAAAAAGATCTAGTACCTTTGTCTATGTTCCGTTTTTCTGAATTTTCAATCCGTTCACAATTACCTAAAAATTTGTGGTACCGGGAAAATTACCAATTGTAGCTTGCTTTTAGTTGAGATACACAATAACACATCGTACGTACTTTTATTGCAAAGAATGGTTTTTACAAATTAGACTAGCCTTACAGTTTTGGAGATTGGGCGGTCACCGGTTTCGGTTTATCAGATTTTTGGTCAGGCGCAGAGGAACTGTCCAGCAATCACTTCTCACAATCACACAAAAAGTCTGTAGTTGACCCCCTGTCTGAAGATCTTGATACCTGGTTCGAAGCAAGAGTTTGTTATCTTAGATACCATCTATTGCTCGTGGTACGCAATTGTTCCATCAGCAGGGCAGTGGCATCAGGTCGTCTGAAACTCAGTCAAGTCCACGTTCGAAGCACCGTCAAATCTGAGCGAAGGTGTAATCAAGGAGACAATTAGGTCAATCAATCGGTTTAAGTTGGTCTACGTCTAAGTTTCTTCGGCAAATATCCTAGTTGCCTCCTCCGAACAAGTGCATTGGTCTACGTCTAAGTTTCTTCGGCAAATATCCTAGCTGCTCCTCCGACCAGAAAGCCTTGGGGCCCAGTGCAGTTGTCAGCAAGTTTGCCTAGTCGTGTCCCTTGTGGGACGCCAAAATGCGCGCGTCAGTCTCCACACTTCGTAAAAAATTGGTTTTCAAACGCTTGAATTAACGAGTATTTTATCGGCAAAATAACTCCGGAAATTTCGTAACAAAACGATATTTTTTAAAGTACTTTATCATTGTTAACATCGGACATAACAAACTTCTGCATAACACAAAGCAAGCTGCTAAATAGCCTGTATTTGTCCTTGACAGTAAATGTATTTGTACTAGACAGTAAATGCCCTAGGCGGGATTCAAACCGGCGCCGAATCCGCCGGGACGCAATCTATATACGCTCGGCTACTGTCCCTATATGCATTTATATTTTGGTTCATTTTATATGCTGCATTTATACTCGTTACATTTGCGCTGCAACATTTCATCTCGGACTTGATTCTGTAAATTTCAAGAAATTTCAAAAAGTTTCTACATTACGAGGCCAACCTGTGCACTGGATAGGCGCAAAATTTTGTGTCTGGTTGTTTCTGGATTCGCGAGACAAGTCTTTAAACATGTTCGTAATCGCATGAGCAAATGAGCTTCCCACCAACCGTTCTTTGAATTGGATTCAAAGTTTTAGATATCACAGGGTAGTTTTAGAGAATATTCAATGCGTTTTAAAAATAGGTCACAAATTCAAAAATTTGAATATTCCAAGGGCGATAATTTTTAAGTTTCATTAACGCTTTCAATATTTTTGGCATGACCTTGCTTCATACTTCTGAGTTGTATGGTTTAAGGCGTATCAATGAAGGTAAACATGCGGCCATTAATTTTATCAAGTTGAATAGACTGTGGTGTGCTATATGGCCCGATTCTAGCTCCTCTGCTTTTTATAATATACAGTAACTATTTAAAAACAGCACGCAAAATTGCCGAAGTTTGGCTGTTACTGCACGATACAAACCTAGCGTCGACAGGTTTTTCATTTTTCATTTAGTATAAGAGAGGTTGATTGATCTAACTGATTTAGTTTCAGAAAAAAAATTAGATACTTGCAATTATATATTTGAATTAATTTCGATACAGTCAAACCCGTACGCTATCATTTAGGCATTTTAAGCAAAACTGATTTTGTTTAAAAAAAAATTCAAGTAAGCAAGGCCATTTATCACTACGTGCAAGGTGTCAAACTATCGTATCACTTTTGATCGCATTCTCTGAACCGTGCTTTGGCTTATGAATATTGCAGCTACACGCAGCTGGAACCAAGTATCTTGAACCTGCTGTAAAACAAAACAAATTCAGACAAGGAAAAATTTTAGTGAGATTTTCAAAAACTTTTTAGAAGTTGTGTTTTAGAGTATCATATAAACGAGCTGTAAACGTAAAGCTGAGCTTTTTCCAATTCGATACCGGGTGTAAAAACTTTTCAACCAACTATGGCTGATACATAATCATACCTGATAGTCACGAAAATACTTCGAGATACCTCGGTTTCACTATAATTAGAAAATCTTGTACAAAACTGAAGAAATATATATTAGTTTACAAAAAGTTTGGCTAATGCTAGAGAATGACCAAAAATGCGTTTTTCCTAGAAAAATGACCTGTTAATTTTTTTTTCGAAAAGTGGAGTTTTAAGCTATTTTATTTTAACTTTTCTCATGAAGTGTTTTAAATAAACCTGCACAGAAAACATCCAAACGGTTCTCCCTCACGTGTCTTTCCTTCTTTTTAGACGTTTACTAAATTAGCAACCCGAACTGTTCTTACATTACTGATATTCAAAGTTATTTAAGAAATTATGCTTCGATCAATATAAATCAAGAAATGAGAAGGGCAAAGCATATACGTTTTTTTGTTATTTACTGCTATATTTTTCGTGTCTAATAATTACAAGGGCAGACGATTACTGGAACAGACAATCCCGTTGTCTATTCATTTATGTATTTGAAATGTTGATATTTTAAGTTTAAAAAAAATTCTGCAATGCAACGTAACATCGCGGCTGCATCGGTAAAAATGGCCTCTTAATACAACACACGTTTCACTTGTGCATATATCCAGCTAGTTCTACTAATATTCTAATTTGCCGATTCTGCTAAGCCTCTGAAAATTATGACACATATTCAACTTATTTAAACGAAAAAACTCAATGCAAATAATAAATTTAACTGTTGAAAAAATCTTTGAAAACATGAATATCAAATACATGCATCAATACATACTGAAACATTGCAAACTATTTAAGTATAACTGAACAAAACTACATCTTTTCAGTTTTTAGCATCACCCCAATCAAGTTTTAAGCAGGTTTCGTTTAACAATATAATCGTAATTTCGTAAAATAACAATAATTGCAAAACACAAACTAAACGACCGTATAGCTCGGATAATGCTCGATCAAACCCTGAAAATTGTCACATTAAGTTGAAATAGATTTGAAAACTGAAGAGTGATCAAAGTTTTAAATCAGTCTGATATTGAAGACTTTCCCAACATTGATTACGCATAGCATCCATCGGTGTTTCATTTCTTTTTCTTGAGACCCGCCTTCTTCTTCTGTGACTTCTTGGCTCCTCCCTCCGCGGCAGTTGGTGCATGCATGGGCGTGTCCACATCTCCAAATCTAGCCAATGGGGTGCTCTCGTAGACTGCCAAGTTCAATTTTGACTGCTTCATAGTTCCACTAACCTTCTTTGACACTTCTTGAAGAACAAAGATAAATAATATCTTGTCACATTTTTTACCAGAAGTAAAAAAATCATATTGGCAAATTTCAAGACCTGAGTTTATAAATTTGCAAATTAAAGATATAGATTGAACAAACAAAAACTTTTTGTTGACTTTTTGACATTATTAGACATTTTTTGCTCCGACCACTTCACGAAGTGAGAAGAAATTCTAGTGTAAATTTCAGCCATGATCAGATTCGAAAATATCAAAATTAATTCAAAAAAAATATCTGGTTCTGGTCTGAATTTCTCTGCTCTTCGGACTAGATTACACAAAATCTGCATATGACATAAAAGACTGCAATATCAATTCAATTCTATCGATATTTTACAAAAAAAAAGTAGCTATTATTATCTCTCATGTTTGAAGCTTTTCAACTAATTCCATCGCCCTATACTGAAAAAAGCAACAGAAAGTAAGGCAAAAAATTGCGACATAAGTTTAAAAACTAGAAATTTTTTTCTCAATATATTTTTTCGCATTTTCGAATTTCTTTACTTCGCAATTATTTTGGCCTGATCATTCTGTGCTACTTGCACAGCAACCTATCACCTTGTTTCAATTAGTTATGTTGATTTTACTGCTACTTACTTTCCTCTGCGATAGTCGGCGTCGACGATGTCCTGCTCGCTAATCTTTTCGATCCCCTTGCAGGCGTCGGCACCTTTTTCAGGGACAGATTTCGAATTCGCTCTTCAATTTCTTTATCTCTATCCATCGGACTTTCGGCTTCCTCTTCGATGTCAACTATGTTCGTGTCTCGTGACATTGACTGCATGTCATTTTCGTTGTCTTCTTGATCTTCCGCTTCGTGTTCGCCCTCACCTTCTCCTGGTTGTGACAGGACAATGTCGGACTCAACAAAGTAAGTGGACAACCCATTAGCCTCAATTTCATCTCTGTTCACTGCGTGGCTTTTGCTGAAATAGAAGACTGACTAAAATGCAATTCATTTTTATATTGTTGGCCGAAATTACCAATCAGGTAAGTTGACGCCAATGAAACTTAATTTAGATCGATTTTTCAACAACAAATTTGTACCTTATCGCTGGTAACTTATGAGAAAAAAGCAGACTAGACTTTCTGGGTACCCGACAGACAAATAAAGCCTTAACAGTTTAAGCTTACGTATCCTGTATATCAAGTGTAGCACGAAAACGTCATTTGTTCTCACCTCAAAACTCATTTATGCAATCTGCTACTTGACATGATAACTTCAAGTTATCCCGATGGCCACTTTTGGTCAGCTTTTGCGGCCTGATTCTGCTTTCTATTTTTTTAATGAAAATCAGAATTGTCTTCTACAGTCAAAAAGGTATGGAACTTTTTGCGGTTACATATTGTTATATTTGCATTATCCCCAATCGATAATACCTCAATTTTCTAAAGACAATTACTCTCACAATTGTAGGGAAGAAACTCTAAGTTCCTAACACTTAGTTTTATCCAGCTCTGAAGTTGTTATACCCTCAGCCTTTAGGTGAGGTATAAACTGTATAATCTCGATGGTCAAAGTCTATGCTTAATCGCTAACTAAGAATTGGAATACGAAGAGATAGAGAGCAACTTAAATTCAGTTTAGAAAGTTAAGTCTGGTCGACGCTGACCTCGAAGCATTAGAGATACAGCGTTTCATAATAACTAATACATATGTTGTTAGGTATAGATAGATACTTATTTAATACGCAGACTTCTATATGTATTATGTAATCAGTTAGGTTTATAATATGTAAACATTACCAACTGGTAGTTTTAGCACCTAATTGTACATTGTTTATAAAGGGATGTTTTACAACAATATCCGTATGGATAACATTTCCCTCCTTGCGAGAAATTGAGTTTTCAATTTAAGGATTTTCAAGATCCTCCGCCTGGTTTGTGGACTTTTGTGTATCTCCTTCTTTTTCTCTTTGAAAGGTCATTGAATTTCCTCTAATTGGGCTGATCGATTGCAGGAAATTCATAGCGTCCTCAAAGTCTTTACTGAAGGAGTCCTCAGTGATCTTTTGCTTGTTTGAACCGAATTTGAACGTGTGAAGTTTTCGTTCCGGTCGAGCTTTTTGGTGCCTAGATAATTACTCGTTTTGACATTATTCCAAACGGAGTTAATACTGCTGCTATCTTGGAATTTTACGCATTTCACGAAATCATCTATAAGTGCTACTACGAAGTTTTCGTCCCAGTACGCCGGGGGTTGCGGTTTTCCGACCGGGTGTCGCGAGATGTAGTCAATAAGACCCATTTTACTACCGGCTAGGTGGTGTATATCGAAATCGAATGGAATGAGTCGATCAATCCATCTAGTTAACCTACTCTGATAGGTTTTATTGCCCCTATTACTCTTTAAGGCACCAACTAGTGCTTGATGGTCTGTTATTAAGGTAAAGCGTCTACCGTAAAGATAATACTTGAAGTGTTCAATGGCCCATACTGCGGCCAAAAGTTCGAGTTCATTTACCGAGTATTTCTGTTCGCATGAATTCAGAAACCTTGATGCATACGCTATGGTGGCCCAACCATCTGGTGTGTTTTGTTCAAGGGCCGCGCCTATTCCTTCACGGCTGGCGTCACAAACAATACGAGTGTCCCTATCACTTACAAAGTGTCTGTTTTCCGTAATATTCTTTACGGCATTTAAGATATTTTTGAATGCTTTTCCGTTTTCTTCACTCCAATGGAAATTAAATTTGTTGGCTGTAGACAATAGTGGTCTTAGGGGGTTGCATAATTGAGCTAAATTTGGAATGAACTTGTTTAGGTGAAACTTTTCAATTGTTTGAATGTTGTTGGATAAGGTAGGTTTATTATCGCATCCGTCTTCTTATGCATAGGTGTGGTGCCGTGTTCATTTATGATAAATCCCAACCATTCTACTTCCCTACAACCGAATTTACACTTATCGATTGAAATAGCCATGTTTTCCGTATTTAATTTGTTCAAAACATTGGTCAATTTTTCAATATGTTGCTCTTTTGTGCCATGTGATATTATTAAAATATCATCTAGAAATGCGAAAGTGTCTTTCTCATTGTTGAGGGTTAGATCGATGGCCTTCTGAAATGCTGCGGGCATATCCGTTAGCCCGTAGAAGCCAGTTTGGAACTGATATGTTCCCGTGGCCTTTCCCCCAATTATACTGAAGTTACACTGCGTACGAGTTGTTTCATCCAATGGCAGTTGACTGTACGCGTAGCGTAGATCGATTGTCGAGAAATAACTCGTACCTGGTTTATTTGTACCTTCCTGTGCCGATTGTGCTATATTGTCTAACAGAACGTCAATATTTGGCATCTGGTACTTATTTTTATGGATCGACTTATTGATTTGTTTAGAGTCCATGGCTAATTTGATGGATCCATCTTTTTTAACAGTGATCACAATAGGGCTTATGAATTGGTTGTCATTGCATTTTTCAAGTCGAGTGATGTGGCCTTGGTCAATTAATGATCTAATCTCATGTTCCACCATTTCTTGTATATGAATGGGAATGCGGCGCCCCCGTTGTTGTAAGGCCTTGAATTCAGATAAAAATTGTGTATGGACCATATGGTTTTTTGAACGTCCGATTCGTGTACACAGTCCCGGGTACGTGGTTCGGACCCACGTTGCAATTTGTGTGTCTGAGTTTTCGACACTGTTAACTTGTAGTACTGACTTACCAGCTGGGTTTTGTTCTTGATGTAGCTGGATGCCAATTAGCGGGAGAAGGTTTCGCCCCAGGATGTTCGCGCGTCTGTCGTCCACCACAATAAAAGACGCTGTTTGGATAGTCCAACCTCCCGATTCGATTGGGGCAGTCAGTCTGCCAAGGGATGGGATTTTGTAGCCATTGTAGCAGACCATTTTGTTAGCTTCATCGTCATCCCTCATTGTTGTTCTTATTGCTGACGTGACTGTCGTAGCCAGTAGGTTGGCGGTTTTTTCGTTTACGAACGATGTTGGTGATCCTGTGTCGGCAATAAAAACGATGTTGTTTTTCCCCGAGCGCACCCGTATAAGGTGTCCTTTGAGATCTGTGTCAAGTAGTTGTTCTGCCCGTCTTGGTTCAAAATTGATCCAGTTTGTGGATGTATCGTCCGGATGGATTAGTTCCCACCCCGGGATAACGTCACCCGCTTGTAGATAATTGACGTAGGCTGTCATATCGGTGTTTTGAAGGTCTTGTTGTTGTTGATTCTCCTCTTGAATTGCGTTTACCTCGCTAGATTTGCACAGTCTTGCGAAATGACCCCTCTTGGTGCACTTGTTGCAAATTTTGTCACGCGCCGGGCATTGGGCTAAATGAGTTGCTGAAAATGCATTTCCGCATTTGAAACAATCTTTTCTCTGTCCGGCCTTTTCCGAATAGTTCCTTGACGTTTGTCCTCCTCTACCGCGTCCACCTCGCTGTTGAGATTTATATCCACCCCGCTTTTGGACGAAGTTTACCGGTTCGGATTTTATATTCGGCAATCCGGTATGACTACTTGAAGTTCCCTGTTTTCTTATGTAAACTTGGTTCTCGAGGCCTTTTTCTCGTTTCATTGCGTAGTCCAATGCTTGTGCGGGCGTTTTTGTTTCGGCGAGAAGGTCTTTTTGGACTTCGTCGTTTGACATGTTTGCCGTAAATAGATCTCTGACTATTTCGGACTCAAGGCCTACATCGTTGCATGCCGTGCATTTGAAATTTCCTTTTACCACCAGTTCCGTAAGTCCGCAGTGGAATTCTTCCAGGGATTCTGTTTTCCCCTGTTTGCGTGTAAAAGCTTCGTACCGATCGAATGTTACGTTGCGTTCTTTAACAAACAGTCGTGTTAAGAGTGTCCAAAACTCTTTGGTGGAGGTATCTTGAATTTTAAGATTTGGATAATATTGTGTGAGTCGTCTTTGGCCCTCCGTCCCCAAACACAAATATATGTAACTTCTGCATTTGATATCGGCTTCCTCCCATGGTATGCCGTCGACGGTGGGACCGAGGTTATCCAGATGTTGACATTGGTTCTCCCATGCTACCCGTTTTTCTTGGTTACGTAGGTTTCGATCGCGTATTTGTTTGTCTGTTTCCCCATCTATATTGAGCTCATAGCCTGGTTCTTGGGGTTTCCGAACAGCTGGGGGGTTGCGTAGAAGTTTGTTCAAATTCATACCATCTTTGGCGATGATGCCCAGAAACAGCTGCTGGTTCCATTTGTCCCACTCTACTGGTGGTTCCGCGGACGCTTTCTACCAAAATGGCGTAATCCCCAATGGGTTCTTTGTGAGTGCTGGCTGCGCCATGTTATACCCTCAGCCTTTAGGTGAGGTATAAACTGTATAATCTCGATGGTCAAAGTCTATGCTTAATCGCTAACTAAGAATTGGAATACGAAGAGATAGAGAGCAACTTAAATTCAGTTTAGAAAGTTAAGTCTGGTCGACGCTGACCTCGAAGCATTAGAGATACAGCGTTTCATAATAACTAATACATATGTTGTTAGGTATAGATAGATACTTATTTAATACGCAGACTTCTATATGTATTATGTAATCAGTTAGGTTTATAATATGTAAACATTACCAACTGGTAGTTTTAGCACCTAATTGTACATTGTTTATAAAGGGATGTTTTACTACAATATCCGTATGGATAACAGAAGGTAAGAAAGTACTTCAACTTTCTGCACGAAAAAGATGGATATTTACAAAGACCGTCTCTGATCTAAAAACAACACATTTCTAGAGCTTCGCAGTTCGCATGACTCGTACTGTGCGGTGAAATGTATGAGTTAAATGATTTGAGAGTGCCCCCATGCCCCATATCCGGTTAAGTCTTGTAAAAATTACCACGATATCTACTCTCAAGGTTACAACAGCAGGAGCAATAACAATACAGTAAAACAACAACATGCCTTCTGCTCTTGAGTAGAAATCCTTCTTTGACGAGACGCCTGACAAGTTTGAGAGCCAATTTGGAGTCTATGTCCAGTTGGTCCATCAGAGAAGAGGCCTCCACTGAGTCAGACATCATGGCCACTATGAGCGACCGACGGAACATACACAGCTCCTGGAAACAGCAACAATTAGTCGTGTACTTTTGAAGATTTAAACTATTGTAAGCATGCAACTTGAGATAGCTTATCAATAAAAACACTGGGCTACTTTAAATCGAGTCGAGTAGGCAATGAAAAATTTATCATATGGTCAGCGCACACTATGCACATTATCCGTTACAACAAAGCTCAACCAAAATCAATTAATTGCAAACCGCCCATTGATGTGCAAGTAGTACAAAATGTTTCGATCACAGTTATTATTGCACAAATTAGATTATTTTTAAACACCGAGGCGAAGCAGAGCATCGGAAAACTTCCAATCAAACGCGAGAACACCACGTGTATGTTGAAAAACTACCAAATTTTTCATACCTTCGTCTCGATTTTTCAAAATAAATTACGTGAATTACCAGCGTTAAATTAGCATCGAAGACTTATTTCTGAAGCAACAACCAAGCCACAAAAAATTTTCATACAGAAGCGAAGCGGAGCTTCGCATCACATCACTTTCGATACAACGCAAGAGGAGCATTGCAAGCTGGCAAAAAAGACGGAAATACTTTAAAACAATTGAAAAACAGTCGAGAAACACAACTACCAGCATTAAATAAGCTTAGTAATTAACAAGCAGCCATTAAGCCGACAATAAGCGGGTAGATGCCCATTAAACCAAGAACAAAATATGCTAAATGAAACTGTTGTCATAAATAACTTTGAGCGATTAGGTTTTGAAACTCTGAACTCTTACATGATCTGAATTATATTAAATACAAAACTCAATTTCTGCACTTCGAACGAAACAAAAATAAGACTAAGCCGATTAAAAAAGAGTCAAAAACAGTTAAACCGAATAAAGGTCTCAAGCGAGAAAAAAGAATACAAACTAGAAAACATACAAATTACAGAAATATAAATATACAAATTACAGGAGTAAATCAACAACACTTGTAAATACAATGAAAATTGCTTACAGCTCAGAAAAGTTATGTGACAACAAAGCCGACGAAACAAAAGCAGATAAACGAATGTTCGACAATCCAATTTTCCCCAAAAAAATTAGATTTCAAACTGACTGAAAAAAAACAAGGTACGGTCGGAAAATGTTAGGGTTCAACAATAAACCAGGTTAATTTTCATACAGATTTGGAAGCAAAAAGGATAAGAGAAAAAATTCTAGCTCCCGATCACAGAACACTTGCTCTCACAAGTGTCAAGAAAATCTTCGAGCTATCATACATTTTCAAACTGAAAATTCTAATCCAGAAACACACCCTCATAATAAACATTTTCGCCGGGAGTTACTCTTATGATTGAAGGACCGAATGATGAAAAACTTTAAGCCAATCAGAATCGTTTGAAGTTCCTATTGGCTGCACGAAGTTTACACATAACCTAAGTCTTAATTAACGGGAAATGGAAACGTTATGCTGTACAATTTGCACAAATAAACAAAAATTTTTGGTTTGTTTTTATTTTTTTTAAATCGGTTTTAGTTTTTTGTTAGAATCGGTTTTGATTTCGCAGTATTAGAAAATTGATGTATCTGCTTATTTTCAAATAGGTCAATATTAACTTTAATGGCTTGGATTTATTCGCTGTCTTTGAGATTTTCGCTATTTCTTTGAGATTTTTGAGCACTCACTTCTGATAGGCTGAAAATAAGGGAAAATGAATTTCCAATATCCGGTCCCTCCTTCATGAGAGACGCCACCCTTTTCGCCTATCAAACGACGCAATAGGAGGCGAATAAGTCCACATATTCATAACTCAAAACTTTTTTTAACCTAATGGAGCAAAAAAATAAACAGAGGCCGAGCTTCGCTTCGCAAACACTAACGAGAACACGACAAAAGCAACTCTATAAAAAACAATAAGAAAAAATAGAAATAAGCCTCGAATAAGTTAAAATTCGGCCATGTCTGGGATTCGCTCAGCGACGTAGAAATTATGAGTCTCACACACTAACCACTCGGTCACGCACACTTAATACACCACAAACACTAGCCACAAATAAAGCAGAAAACTGATGCTGCGAAATTTCCATAGCTAGATTGTGATTATAGCGAAAGTGCCACCAAATAAGTGAAAACTTTCTATTTTCAATGAACACTTTTACTAGAGTTAGGTTAGAAACAAAGAAGATTCGTACTAATACGCAACGGTGATCGCTAGTGTAAATAACTGAAATATAAGATATCGGAGTTCATGGTTTTATAATGAGCCTAGGAACCTAATTTTGACACAGAAGCAATGATGCACTTTACCAACGACAAAACCCAACGAAATAGCTTTAAAAGCTGAGTTTTGAAACATATATAACATCTACGGGAATCAAAACACAGGCCTTGAGGATCCAAGTCGACTGCCCAACAGAACTTTGTTATTGAGGCTTAAAGAACCAAGAGACAGTCAAATATAAAAGCAGAACACATGCTTTTAAACTGCCAATACTAAGCAGCAAAAGTGTTGACCAAAATGAACACTGTTTCGTGCAATTTCGATTGAAAAAAAAATCAACTCGTAATAAACTACAATGCTTGCTTTTGCAAATAGAACGGGTATTCAACAAAATTATCGTTGCGGGATGCAGCTTCGACAAAAGATAGACGAACCATAGCTTGCTGTGGGTTCATTTGCGGGTCAACAGTGCACAGTTCTCGGTACTCTTCCAGCTCTGGATTGTCCCTGGCACAGAAGTAGCAGAGCACTTTGTCAGGAACTTCACGCTCAGTTGGGAAACCATAGCAACCGACGTGGGACTTAAGTCCACATGCACAGCAGGATATCATCACCCACTCGATCTATTAAAAATATTGACAATAAAAAATAAATGCGTTTGAAAGTTATTCCATTTCTAATTGCACACAATCATGGGAGTTGTATCAAAATATCCCTTAAAATTCCTTTGAATAGATCATTTTGGTGAATTTGCCGAAATTACTGTATTTTATAGCTTGAACTCAAGCAGTTTAGTTGATCAGTGAAATTAATTTAAAAAATGTCCCTCAAGAAGATATTATTGGATGAGTCCTTACAAATTAATTCCAGCAAATTCTTGCTGACTGTGGCCAACATTTAACCTACCAGCTGATTTTTCCCGCAGGGACATCTTATGAGTTCTTTTTCGACATCCATTTCATTCTCATCATCGTTCTCTACTTCCTCAATCGACGAGGTCAAACTAGCCTCCAAATTAACAGTTGCATTGCAGTCGTCTCCACCTTCTAAATCTTCACCATGTTCTTTGTCAGTAGCCCCTTGAATTTGCTCTTTACTCTGTTTTTCATTCGTTTCTGAATGGACACTTGGACTCGCAGTAGACGCTTCTTCAATAGGGTCCAAAGACGCAGTCGCGTTTCGACTCGATGCCCGTCTCGGGTACGAATCACGAGTCACAGATTCGTTCAGGTCAATTTTTGATCTTTTCGGTCGATTTTGCTCTTCAACCTGAGCACGCTCAGTACTTTCTGCATTATCAACAACTTGTGGCGAAGTTCTTCGACGTTTTGTAGGAACGATTATTTCTGACTCGTCGGAAGAATCCCCGTCTTTGTTACTGGCACCTTTTTGATTGCTAACTTCTCCGTATTCTGCGCTGACATCAGGTTCCAATTGCTTAGGGCTCGTGACGTTTTCGTCATAAGTGACTCCTTCAGGAAGCGACTCAGGGAACTGCGTGTCCAGAGCGCGCACAGTCAGAGATGTAGAATTGACCACCTTCAGAGATACAAATTTGATTACCAGCTTCATAGAATATTTTTATAACTATGTCTACTTTGAAGTGGTTATGTTAGACTGAAAGGTTTTTAATGTTTTCGAATACTGGTACCATTTTATCCGAACTGAACTTAATGTACTACTAAAAATTAAATGATATCCTTTTTTCAAAATTCACGCACAAATGGGACACACTTTTCGGAAAATCAATCTTGACCTTGAAATATACGCAGATTTACTCAGGATCATTTGCTATACCCAATGAGATCGGATAAGAATGAAAAACTTTATTATTTTTTATGTTTAAGACAATTCCTCGTGCTTTTTTACAGTAGGTTACTTATAGGTTACTGTTCGATTTACGGATGCCACGTCATATGGATAAACAATAAGTAAAGCAGTCTGGTCTCACCGTAGGCACACATCCCATCGTTAGTTGTCTGTTGGGTCCAGTGAACTTCAACAGAGTACTCATTTCTCGAGTTGAAAACCCAGGTGGGTTGTAATCCTCCGGAGTTCCTGAAAAACAAACTCTACATCATCATTCAATTGTTCTGTGTCCAATAGTTTATTTCCAGATTTTGGCTACACTACTGTTTCACTCAAATAGCTTCCAAAGCCATAGTTATAAGCTCAACAAATGCTTCAATGCGTTTGAATCGCGTTGGGTTACGGTTAGTAAAAATGTCTTTGTCAAGTTAAATTGTTAACACAGAGGCCAAGAGGATCTTCGCACCTCTTGCGATACAAAACAGAATTTTAAAAAAACATCACGACCTCAATAAGAGTCTGAACCACGTTCATTAACTCTTAAATATAACCTTAAATCTCTTAGAAATTCTAGAATAATTTATGGTTCGACACTTTTTTGATGAAAGTAACCCAATTTTATTTCGCCGTGAAATCTGAAAATTAAATTCCATTTTCGAAATAAGAAGATCACAATTTTCGTGACCAGTGCATCTTTGCTGTTAGTTAGTCGAGTTTACCTTCCTTTTAACGTAAGTGACATGAAACTATAAAGAAATTTTAGATCATTATTTTTGTTGCGTCGGAATAACTCGCTGAATACGTTGATAGAAAACAAGAAAAAATTGAGCAATATTAACTGTATGTTGGTCAAATTGGTAAATTTCTAACCACCAGTAGCGATAAAACTTTCAAGCTCAGGTAATCAATGTATTTTCAACAAGATAAAAAATACAACAGCCTGCAATAATATCATCATTATCGATTTTAGTGTAGCACTGGACTATATATGCATACTCTGATGAAACTGTAAGCAGAAACTGAACGCAGAAATTGAAAATGAGTAGATGGGAAAAAACGAACTGTTGCCTGTGTAATGAGGGTTACTATTGATAAAATTGGCCCTTGATCACTTAAAATAAATATTTTTATCTGAAGAAACATTTAGGCAAGCAAAACCAAGCTAGCTGTTAGAATATCAAGCTAGCTTTTAGATGGGATTCTAAGAAACACGTGATATCAGGAACAATACCCCTACCCTATTGTACTTAATAGTAACACAGAGGCGAAGCTTTGCTTCGCAAAAACTCGCAAAAAAATTAGTTCTAAGAAAGTGCAATAAGAAAAAAATAGAAATAAGCCTCGAATTAGCAAAACTTCGGCTAGGTCTAGGATTCGATCTGCGACCTACTGCAATCAAGAAAATTTGAGTCTCACGCACTAACCACGCACGCTTCACCACCGACAAATACTAGTCACGAAGAAGGCAGCTACATATGTGAATAAATTACCAATGCGATTCAGCAAGTGCCACCAAATACAAATAGACACAATTTTGCAAGTAATAATTTGAAATATAACAAATTGAAGGCATCCACACTAATTTTGCATTTAATAAATTGGAAATCATAACGCCACATTATGTATAAACTATGCATTTCCAAAAATGGCGAGATATAATGTGTTAGAAAATTTCTAAAATCGAGTTTATTATTGTTATGTTGAAACAAATTGCTTTTTTCGGTTCATTCGATGAATTGAAAATGCATCAACTGTGCTAACTTATTAATATTCGACTGTCAAAGCACATGCTATCAAAATACTGTAAATGTGCCCCAAAATTGAAACCAATATTTGCGACTGAGGTTAGAAAAAAAGAGGGTTCTTAATAATACACGAAACTGACGCTAGTGTAAATATCCGTCCTTCTAATGGACTAACATATCGGTTGTGCATTCAAAAATTTTGAACCTAACAATTAACTTTCCACTTTGCGAAATGGGTATGGCTGAATCATTTTGTAAATGCAATATTTTTGACACTATCCTAATTGGTTAAGGAGTCTGAATGATATAATTAACCTACAGCTGCTCATTTTGACTGCGGGTACCAATTTTATACACATTTGAACATTTAAAGTGACAAAAAATATCAATCTAAAAACAACATGGCAAGCAGACATTTGGATGACTGTCACTGAACAAGGAAATCATAAAAAACAGTAAAGGACTTATTCTTGAGCATTTTTCAATTCGCGAAAAAAAATCACGTTTGATTCTTAGAATAAAATCTTTTATCATCGGCACATTTTCATAAAACTTGCCCTATTTGAAAAACTGGATCCTCTCGTAACTAAATGTTGTCTATGTTTTAGGCAGTTTCCACTTCTTAGTTGGTGTGCATAACTTTCCTTCCTTTTACGAATTTAATTTGATTTGTAGTTTTTAAAAAGAATCGAAAGTCAAACCGCGAAAAATCAAATTTCCTGATAAAAATCTGAAAAAAGTCAAAACGACTTATAGCTGTCTTCACTGAGTTCATTGGAACTAAAACGCTATTTTTTTGACCGATTGTACTAACCAGCGCGATATCCCAGTTTGAGTTTGAACAGGATGCCCTCGGGTAGTTGTGGCATGGCGGATAGGATGTGTCGGATGTTATCGAGCAGCTTCGTGGCGGCCTCTGTGGTTGCCGAATACGTCTCGGAAGTGCAGTAGCACTTATTCTTGCTAAATATCACACAGATCTTGAAGACAAAATGGAAAGAAAACGGCCTCGCTTAGATCAAACTTCAATTTGATTGCCTGATAGCCTTACATGTGTTTGACTCATCCAATTTTTACCTGCTGAATTTATTCAAAAAAACAGAAAACAATAAAAATCTTAGCCAGAAATCTCATATAAAATGGTTGAAATCACACGAGTTCCATAAAAAAAGAACCAGATTTAAAACCGATAACATACTTATAAAATTCGCAGATGACGTCTTCGTCTTCGTACTTGAAGGAGAACGTGTATGCCTCAATCACATCGTTTTCATCCTGATTCCGATACACCTGATATATAATTCAATCACAAATGATCCTTTATTTCCAACAAAAATAGCATTTTTTGTGCACATAGCACAGCGTGTTCCGACCGCAATGAGTTTAGTGGTAAACTCAAAAACAAAGATAATTGTAGAACCTTTCAAAATAATCTTACGTTTTTTTCTTAATTCTGTTAAATTTTTCGTAAAGAGCGATTGAATTGGGTCAAAACAACTGCAAAGATGAAAAGTTAAAGTAGCTCAAAAAATTGAATTAGATTTAAATTGGGCATCATCAAACTCCGCGTCATCAAGCTGGTCTAAAACTTAAAAAAGAAAAAACTTTTTTGGAATCCCAACTACGACTGAAAGACCTTTATTATGATACCACAGTTGAACCCCTACGACCTATCTTCGAGGTTCGAACAACTGGTGCCAGTTAACTTTTCAACGGAACAAAAATTAGAACCTCAACTTTGAACATGAACTTCAACTAATACGCTCTTTCAATGACTCACATAAAGGATCAGTAGTTTCAACTAAAAGCATAAGAAATTTTAATTAACCTGAGGTAACTTACTTTGGTCTAGCTGGGCAAAATCTGATTTATTACGTATTTTTTGTCCAGTGCATCAAATGTGTTCTGTAGTTTAGAGGCCAGTTTGCAACTGTTGGGTCCACCTGTTCTCATCACTCGAACTGATTTACCTATAAAAACAAAAGTTCAGTACTTTTCGGAGCAAAAACGGAAAAATAGTTTATGGGAGAAACGAAACAGTTAGGAAAATCGAAACAAGTTCGAAATCAAATCAAGGACAAGCGGGTACTGTGCAAATAGAACAAAATTTTCCGCTCATAATCTTAAAAAAACAAAGGGTTTTCGTATCGTATTTTTCTGCGTGGTGCGATATAAGGATCTGAACGAAAAACTACAACTTAGGCATATTCTAGGGTCATAGTAAAATAGGCAAACTGAACAACAGTTTTAAGTAGAAAAATGACTGAGAAAAACAAACCAAATTGTTTAAAAATTCGCCACAAGCCAAGCTGAGCTTCGCACCACTTGCGATACAAATATGAATGACTATGATTAAAATCAAACGGAAAAAATGAATGAAATCGTTTTTGTCAATAAAATTGCAACAAAAGCCGAAATATCCGGAACAAAATTGCCTTCACTATTAGAAGCTCTACAAGAGATTTGAGAACGCTATAAAGAACAAAGTTTTCAAAAAAAAGATCTTTCTGCGGAACTAAGCAGACAAAACAAAGCAGACAGACAGACACATCTAAATTAGCCAAAATTTTCTATTTGTAAAAAAAACAGGTCAACTGGAATCGAACTCCCGCAATTAAAGGCCACCAAGTCGTTATTAATAAAGCCGCAAATTATTAAGTCGATTAAAAAGACAAAAAAATGTCGATTAAAAAGACAAAATTACAACCAATGTGAAAAGCAAATTTCGTTCGGCCGGAGTTGCAAAACAAAATGCTAAAAGCAACTGCAGTGAGAATTGTTTCCAAAAAAATCAACGATTCTTAGATATGGCAACTAAACATAAGCACACAATCCTGGTCAGATTCGAACTGAGTATTGGTTTCCACCAGGCTAGTGTGCAAGAGACACAACGAAATCTGAATTCACGATGAAAAAAGGTAGATTAGGAGTCCAATGAGTCCTGTGGACAAAATTGTGAACTGGAAAAAAGACTAGTTACCATTGCCTATCGCAACTGTAAAAACAAAATTTTCAAAAAAAAAAACTTTTTGAAAACTTTTCGCAGAAATGTTTGAAAACTTTTAAGTTTTTGATTCCTCAAATTTAGCAAAAAAAAAACTCAAAAAAAATCCACTTAAATAAATTTAGGTTTTTTAGACCAAAACCCAAATTAGACCAAAACCCAAAAATTTCAAAACAGCCAATCGAAGATTGGAAAAGAGTAATGAACGCAAGTAAACAAAAAAACCACCGACTTTCTTGAAAAAATCTCAACTTTCGAATTTCAAGAAAAAAATAGATGACCTTCAAGCTCTTTGAATTTTTAGAACATTTTATGATTGGCACTTCTTTGATAACATGAACCCAACTTAAAAAAATTGGATCAAAAGGTAAAGTTTTTATTCCGCTGGGATATCTTAAAAACAAAGTCCACTTTCGAAACTAGAAATCGTTCACAATTTTTCGCGCCATTTTCAAGTTCGTATTAAAATGTAAAGTCCCTTTTAACCTCAGATAACACACGTGAGCAAAATGTTTTTCGGTCGTAACGATGCAAAAAGACGCCACTAAGTCGTTATTAATTACGCCGAAAAATATTAGGCCGATTAAAAATAAAAAAAAATAAAAAAGTGTTAACAGATCGCGCAGGTAAAATTACAACCAATGTGAAAAGCAGATTTCGATTCGGCCGAATTTCTAAAATGTTAAAAGCAATTGCAGTGAAAATTGATTATAGCTAAAACAAACTATTCTTAGATATGGAAACTAAGCCGACAAAACATAAGCAGACAAACAAAAAAATGGTCAAGGTCAGATTCGATTAGAGTATTGGTTTCCACCAGGCTGTGTGCAAGAGACACAACGAAATTTGAAATCACGATGAAAAAAGGTACATGGGGAGTCAAAGAGTCCTGTGGACAAAGTTGTTTACGGGAAAAAAGACTAGTTACCATTGCTTATCGCAACTGTAAAAACAGAATTTTAAAAAAAAAAACTTTTTGAAAACTTTTCGCAGAAATTTTTAAAAACTCTTAAGTTTTTGATTCCTCAAATTTAGCAAAAAAAAAACTTCAAAAAATCCACTTAAATAAATTGCGGTTTTTTAGACCAAAACCCAAATTAGAACAAAACCCAAAAATTTCAAAACAGCCAATCGAAGATTGGAAAAGAGTAATGAACGCAAGTAAACAAAAAATCACCGACTTTCTTGAAAAAATCTCAACTTTCGAATTTTAAAGAAAAAAATAGATGACCTTCAAGCTCTTTGAATTTCTAGAACATTTTATGATTGGCACTTCTTTGATAACATGAACGCAACTTAATAAAATTGGATCAATAGGTAAAGTTTTTATTCCGCTGGGATATCTTAAAAACAAAGTCCACTTTCGAAACTAGAAATCGTTCAATTTTTCGCGCCATTTTCAAGTTCGTATTAAAATGTAAAGTCATTTTTAACCTCAGAGTACACACGCGAGCAAAATTTTTTTCGGTCGTAACGATGCAATAAGAGGCCACTAAGTCGTTATTAATTACGCCGAAAAATATTAGGCCAATGAAAAAGACAAAAAAAAAGAAAAAAAAGTGTTAACAGATCGCGCAGGTAAAATTACAACCAATGTGAAAAGCAAATTTCGATTCGGCCGAATTTCTAAAATGTTAAAAGCAACTGCAGTGAAAATTGTTTATAGCTAAAACAAACTATTCTTAGATATGGACTCTAAGCCGACAAAACATAAGCAGACAAACAAAAAAAATGGTCAAGGTCAGATTCGATTAGAGTATTGGTTTCCACCAGGCTGTGTGCAAGAGACACAACGAAATTTGAATTCACGATGAAAAAAGGTACATGGGGAGTCAAAGAGTCCTGTGGACAAAGTTGTTTACGGGAAAAAAGACTAGTTACCATTGCTTATCGCAACTGTAAAAATAGAATTTTCAAAAAAAAAACTTTTTGAAAACTTTTCGCAGAAATTTTTAAAAACTCTTAAGTTTTTGATTCCTCAAATTTAGCAAAAAAAACTTCAAAAAATCCACTTAAATAAATTGAGGTTTTTTAGACCAAAACCCAAATTAGACCAAAACCCAAAAATTTCAAAACAGCCAATCGAAGATTGGAAAAGAGTAATGAACGCAAGTAGACAAAAAACCACCGACTTTCTTGAAAAAATCTCAACTTTCGAATTTTAACGAAAAAAATAGATGACCTTCAAGCTATTTGAATTTCTAGAACATTTTACGATTGGCACTTCTTTGATAACATGAACGCAACTTAATAAAATTGGATCAATAGGTAAAGTTTTTATTCCGCTGGGATATCTTAAAAACAAAGTCCACTTTCGAAACTAGAAATCGTTCAATTTTTCGCGCCATTTTCAAGTTCGTATTAAAATGTAAAGTCATTTTTAACCTCAGAGTACACACGCGAGCAAAATTTTTTTCGGTCGTAACGATGCAATAAGAGGCCACTAAGTCGTTATTAATTACGCCGAAAAATATAAGGCCAAATAAAAAGACAAAAAAAAAGAAAAAAAAGTGTTAACAGATCGCGCAGGTAAAATTACAACCAATGTGAAAAGCAAATTTCGATTCGGCCGAATTTCTAAAATGTTAAAAGCAACTGCAGTGAAAATTGTTTATAGCTCAAACAAACTATTCTTAGATATGGAAACTAAGCCGACAAAACATAAGCAGACAAACAAAAAAAATGGTCAAGGTCAGATTCGATTAGAGTATTGTTTTCCACCAGGCTGTGTGCAAGAGACACAACGAAATTTGAATTCACGATGAAAAAAGGTACATAGGGAGTCAAAGAGTCCTGTGGACAAAGTTGTTTACGGGAAAAAAGACTAGTTACCATTGCTTATCGCAACTGTAAAAACAGAATTTTCAAAAAAAAAAACTTTTTGAAAACTTTTCGCAGAAATTTTTAAAAACTCTTTAAGTTTTTGATTCCTCAAATTTAGCAAAAAAAAACTTCAAAAAATCCACTCAAATAAATTGAGGTTTTTTAGACCAAAACCCAAATTAGACCAAAACCCAAAAATTTCAAAACAGCCAATCGAAGATTGGAAAAGAGTAATGAACGCAAGTAAACAAAAAATCACCGACTTTCTTGAAAAAATCTCAACTTTCAAATTTTAACGAAAAAAATAGATGACCTTCAAGCTCTTTGAATTTCTAGAACATTTTATGATTGGCACTTCTTTGATAACATGAACGCAACTTAATAAAATTGGATCAATAGGTAAAGTTTTTATTCCGCTGGGATATCTTAAAAACAAAGTCCACTTTCGAAACTAGAAATCGTTCAATTTTTCGCGCCATTTTCAAGTTCGTATTAAAATGTAAAGTCATTTTTAACCTCAGAGTACACACGCGAGCAAAATTTTTTTCGGTCGTAACGATGCAATAAGAGGCCACTAAGTCGTTATTAATTACGCCGAAAAATATAAGGCCAATTAAAAAGACAAAAAAAAAAGAAAAAAAAGTGTTAACAGATCGCGCAGGTAAAATTACAACCAATGTGAAAAGCAAATTTCGATTCGGCCGAATTTCTAAAATGTTAAAAGCAACTGCAGTGAAAATTGTTTATAGCTAAAACAAACTATTCTTAGATATGGAAACTAAGCCGACAAAACATAAGCAGACAAACAAAAAAAATGGTCAAGGTCAGATTCGATTAGAGTATTGGTTTCCACCAGGCTGAGTGCAAGAGACACAACGAAATTTGAATTCACGATGAAAAAAGGTACATAGGGAGTCAAAGAGTCCTGTGGACAAAGTTGTTTACGGAAAAAAAGACTAGTTACCATTGCTTATCGTAACTGTAAAAACAGAATTTTCAAAAAAAAAAACTTTTTGAAAACTTTTCGCAGAAATTTTTAAAAACTCTTTAAGTTTTTGATTCCTCAAATTTAGCAAAAAAAAACTTCAAAAAATCCACTCAAATAAATTGAGGTTTTTTAGACCAAAACCCAAATTAGACCAA